TCCTGGTATGTCGAGGATGAAGTCACTAGCGAGAAGCTACATATGGTGGTCTTCAATCGATCAAGATATAGAAGATAAAGTGCACGGCTGTGGAATTTGTTTAGCACTAAGAAAATCACCACCAGCCTCACCATTGATACCTTGGAAATGGCCTAAACGCGTGTGGCAACGATTGCACATTTTCCAAGTGGCTTGAAGTATTTCATATGACCAGTACTACATCCCGTAAAACCATAGAAACTTTAAGAACATTATTTGCATCATATGGTCTTCCAGAGGATGTGGTATCAGATAACGGTCCTCAGTTTATCAGTTATGAATTCAAGAATTTTCTAAGTAAAAATGGAGTGCGTCAAATTTTAACTCCACCATATCATCCTGCATCAAATGGAGCTGCGGAAAGATCAGTACAAACCGTTAAACAAGGTTTATTGAAACAAGTTATGGAAGGTCATACCAACCAAACTCTACAACATAGACTTGATAACTTTTTATTAACATACAGAATTACTCCACACACTGTTACTGGGTGTGCACCAAGCAAGCTGTTTTTGAAAAGACAAATTAGTAATCGGTTTACATTGTTGAAACCAAATCTTGAACAGACTGTCACTCATAAACAAGAGCTGCAAGCAAAGAATCATGACAGCCGAGTTAGAGTGCGTTCATTTGAAGTCGGACAATTCATTCAGGTTAAAAACTTTCAAGGAGATATTAATAGGTGGATTCCTGGTCGTATAACAAAAAAATTAGGTTTACAGACCTTTCTTGTCCGAACCGGGGGTAAAATTCGTTATTGTCACATTGATCATTTGTTACCTGGTAATGATACTGTCGATTCAAATGGTAACAGTCCAACCGATACAGAGATTGATATAACATCATCTAAACCGTTAGTACCCTATTATGGACCAGATTTGTTATTGCCTAATATTTCAAATACTGCATGTACTTCATCGACTACAAGTACTACAAGTATCAACAAGTATTGATACTCCAACATCACCCGTCAAGCAAGTTGATACCAAACAACGTTACCCACAGAGAGTTCGAAAACCACCAGAGAAGTTAACTATGTGAACTATGTGTGAAATTTTTAAATGATTAACGTTTATTTTGTTTTGTTCCCTCAAATAGAGACATTTTAGTTTATGTGAACAGTACAAAAGAGACAGAGAGAGAATTGCTATAAATAGACGAACTACAATTTGTGGGTACCGAGATGGTGAAATTTAATGGTGGTCTGCCTCCATTGAGAAAGTAAAGCAGACGGACACAGCCCACCAAATATTTCTACGCCGTCACCCACGAATGTAGGGCGAAAGCTATTTTTAGTCTTTCTCTCTCTTTCCCTTTTCTCCCTTTTGGATGGCGATTTTTGTTGGCTTTTTGTGTAGAATCGAAGAAAAGAGTTTGAAAATACATTTTCTGACAGGTTTTGGTGAAAATTCATGATTTTGAGGCGGAAGGATACAAGAGTTGAGAGGTTGGTTAGGTTGAAATGTAGGGCCGAAAATTGCATGTTTATTCGTCTCTACTTCCAGCTTGTGTTTTAGAAGTTTTTCATTGTGAACCTCATACATGCTTTTGGGCAAGAGTTTGCCACATGTTGCTCCATTAGTGATCTGTGGCCAGAAAGCAATTGTTGAGGAAATTTTATCAGATTTTCACAGTAGAATTATGTCGTAAAAATTTATGTCATAAATTCAAATGTCAGCGTTCAGTTCACGACATTAAAGTTCAGCTGGATGTTCTTTCTGGAATATTGTCAGATAAGTCTGAGACTTTTGATTGTAATGGAGAATTTGCATGGGATAATGTTGTTTTACTGAATGGAATCTTTCACCCGTATTCCATGCCCCCGGTTTCGAATTTCGAAATAAAGTTAGCAAACATATTCCTAGCCAATAAAAACCTATATATGATTATCACGAAACTAATTGTTACCTTTATATTAGAAAAAACATTTAAGACATATTACTGCAAGGTATATAGACAAGAAACCCCCCAAAAATATTACCGTAAACATACTAAAATATTGCACACTAGGGTAACTGAGCGCTGAAAAGGGTACATCCAATTTGCATCAAAAAGCACCGAAACCTTCTATGTTGGCTTTTCGAGATATGTTACGGTAAACATACTATAAATATGGGGTAATCGGGTTAGTGTAGGCTCACTGCGCACACAATAACTTCTAAACTAGCTTTAGTGGCTCGAAGATCTTTATTTCACCAAATCAACAGATGCATAAGGTGTGAACAAGGAAGTTTCATTAAGTTTCTATCTTTGCGTATCGAGTTATATCATCGCAGAGGTCCTAGCACCCGGATACGAGTCGAGATTCGTGGGTTCAATAAACAAAGGGTATGCCCACACTGCATCAAAGATGGAGGACCCCTTTCTGCGTGCTAAGCGGTAATAGTTTGTTCAGGTGTTCGTCTATTATGTATACTTTGCATTAAATGTACATTATGCAAGAGCTAAATCGGCCTGTTGCAGGTTTTTCTGTAGGCCTGAAATGTTATCAGAATTATTAATTAGACATTAATTAACTTATCCAGACCATAATCAACTCTCGATGTCAACGCTAGCCTGCGATATTTACTGGATGAGGATCTGATTTGCTGCTCAACTTTTATTCATGCTTTAATCATGAAATGGATAATCGAGACTATGTTTTATTATCGTACCGACCTTAGTAATGATGATCAAGGTTAGGCCGAAAATTTAATCGCTAAAATCTAGGTTCAGAGTGGACTAATTTGACTGAAATATTCAGCAAATTCCTTTCACATTATCTAGTTTTTAAATATTATAGGGAGAACTGCCAGCTCTTTATCTAATCCCCCATAATGTATCTTTAAAGGTAACAATTTTGTGATAACTATAGGTTTTAATTAGCACTAGGTATATTTTTGCTAACTTCATTTCAAATCCGTGTGCTGTGCTGTAATACGGGTGAGAGATTCTGCTTGGTAAAACAACATTATCCAAGCCAATTCTCCAGTACAATTCCAGAAAGAATATCCAGCTGAACTTTAATGTAGTGAATTGAATGCCGACATTTGAATTTATGACATAAATTTTTATTTCCTCTGATAAAATCTGATAAAATATCCTCAACAATTGCTTTCTGCTTTACTTTCTTGATGTCATCAAAAGTTATCTTTCCTTCTTGGGAGCATTCATATTAGCAATTTTACACGTAACCCGATGACTGTTGACCCCAAGAACACACGATGTGTTAAAAGACAAATGTCAATTTCCAAAGTTGCTTTGTTGTAATTTGACATTTGACTTTTACATTAACGGCATTGTGTATTTTTATAACGATATTTGTATTTTGCATCTTAGGTATTGGGTATTTTCTCTGATGTATAATAACACTTTCAACATACATTTAGTTTTGGCCTTTAAATTCCCTATACTTATTGACATAGTTAAATACTATGTATACTAAGCAGCAAAAGAAACGTCAGGTTGGTACGTTACTCTGAGTAGACGCATTGCATAAAACTTGCCAAATGTTTTTATTGTATATTTGTGACCACATCTCCAACTTTACCTGAGCAATAAGGCTCCTTCCCAAACACAGAATGGGAGCCACGGTGGCTAGGTGGTTAAGACGCTGGCTCGCTAGCCTGGAGGTCGGGTGTTCGTTCCCTGCATTGGCCGAGAAAGTTCATCCAGATTTTCCGACGTGGTTTCCCCTTGTCAGTGGTGCAGAACGGAGGGCCTGACAAGGACAGCTATCTAGTCCTTCGGATGAGACGAAAAACCGAGGTCCCGTGTATACATTGGAATGCACGTAAAAGATCCCTTGGCAGGGGATCACGTGGCTAAGTGGGTAAGACGCTGGCTCACTAGCCTGGAGGTCGGGTGTTCAATCCCTGCATTGGCCGAGAAAGTTCATCCAGATTTTCCGGCGTGGTTCCCCCTTGTCAGTGATGCAGGACTGATGGCCTGACAAGGACAGCTGTCTAGTCGTTCAGATGGGACGAAAAACCGAGGTCCCGTGTACATATTGGCCTGACAAGGACAGCTGTCTAGTCCTTCGGATGATACGAAAAACCGAGGTCCCGTGTATACATTGGAATGCACGTAAAAGATCCCTTGGCAGTTGGAATTCGATATAAGAGTAGGCGATAGTGCCGCTGCCTGGGCAAAATTTCCCTCATAACACACTGTATGGCGTATGCCCGTCTTCATTAGCCCAGCATAGGAGCAGAACAGTAGGACGTTAAACCCCATTTCATTTCATTTCATTTCATGGAATTCGATATAAGAGTAGGTGATAGTGCCGCTGTCCGGTCAAAATTTCCCTCAAAGCACACTGTATGGCGTATGCCCCTCTTTATTAGCCCAGTATAGAAGCAGAACAGTAGGATGTTAAACCCCATTTCATTTCAAACACAGAATTGAACTCAGGAAATGTTCTCAAAAATGCAACCTGACTTCTGAGATGGTAATGTGTTCTCGATGATTTTCATGTAACTTATGATGCATGTGCTGTTCACCAGGGCCACCCCTATAAAATGCACCCCCCATATCTAGTTGAATCATTCACACTACAACGTCGGCAGCATGCCACGACCCACGACAGCTCAGAGGAACCAGGTGCATGGAAGACTTGATGCTGGCCACACTGCCCAATCCATTGCCAATCACTTCCAGGTCAATCTTCGGACCATCTACAGGCTGCAGCAACACTGGTTCCTCTAACCAGGTGCATGGAAGACTTGATGCTGGCCACACTGCCCAATCCATTGCTAATCACTTCCAGGTCAATCTTCGGACCATCTACAGATACTGATGTATATACTGTACAGACTCTGTACAGTCCTGGAATTGGAATGAATTAATCACTAATGTGTCGACATACTGTTCACAAAAATTTGCTTAGTTAAATATTACTAGTACACTCTTATTGACATACTTAAATATTGCTCTAATTGACATAATTAAATATTGAAGCCCAATATATGTTATATTTCTAGTAACGACATCTTCGTGTAGAATTAATGTATGTGAAGCAATGATCCGTAAGAATCGAGCTGATTTAATGGGTATAGCATTAGAATATAACTGGTCACCGGCTTGTGATGATGCGGGCAGATATCAAACTAAACAATGTAATATGTCATCATGCTGGTGTGTCGATGGTAGTGGAAGACTAACAGCTTATCTTCAAGATGCTGCTGCTAGCTGCGGTAAGTTATCTATGCTATTTTTAAATCAGAGTCAATGTTTGATTTGGTGTTATAAACTTGTTGTATTTATTCATTTTTGAAATGTTTGTCTATTCAGCTTTGTAAATTTACTACAGGTGAGGGTGGGGGAATATGCTATCAAGCCCCAAGAACCCCATTTTGACTCCCAACGCTGACAGACCCCACAAAATGTATTTCGTTCTGACAGGCGTGTGTATGTAACTTTACGTTTGAAGGGTGAAATGGATCGTGACCTGTACCAATATTTATCAGAAGACCATTTTCATGTGGACGTATTTTGCCGCCGGGCTGTAAGAAAGTCCATCTGTCCACATTTTATTTGTGACTCTCTATACATATTGTACATATTGGCATGCACGTAAAAGATCCCTTGACAGTTGGAATTTGATATAAGAGTAGACCGTAGTGCTGCTGTTCGGGCAAAACTTCCCTCATAGCACACTGTATGGTGTATGCCCGTCTCCATTAGCCCAGTTCGGAGCAAAACAGTCGGACGTTAAACCCCATTTCATTTCATTTCATTTCTGTCCGTCCGTTCTTATTTTGTTTGTGGGCACTACAGGTCGCAATTTTTATCCGATTTTAACAAAACTTGAAATATAGGTTTATATCCCAAAGATCTCGGTTCCTTTCGATATTGGCTTCGCATGTATCGGACCGTAACTTCATGGATTATGGCCCCTGATTGTACGAAAAATCACATTTTTAGCTTGTAGAGGTCACAACATTTATATTAATCTTAAAATGTATATTTATAACTCAAATATTTCAGTTCCTTTCGATATTGAAGCATATGGGACCGTAACATTCTCGATTATGACCCTTGATTGTACGAAATTTCAATTCCCGAACAACTGATTACACAAATAATGAACGTACCGAAATTTGTCGCACAGAATCTCAAAAGTCATGGGATTTCAGACACTTTATTCGGCCGATTGGAAGGCAAACATTTTTATACGCCCACTTTTCATATGGACGTATTATGCGTCACCCCTGTCCGTCCGGACATCCGTCCACAATTGTTTGTGGACTCTCTACAGGTCACAATTCTTATCCGATTTTGACGAAACTTGAAATATAGGTTTATCCCCAAAAGCTCTCGGCTGCTTTCGATATTGGCATGTATCGGTTCGAAACTTCATGGATTATGGCACCTGATTGTACAAAAAATCACGTTTTTAGCTTGTCGACCCTATAGAGGTCACAATTTTTATCCGATTTTGTTGAAACTTGAAATGTAAGTTTATAATCCAAAAATCTCGGTTCCTTTTGATATTCGCGCATATCGGACCGTAACTTCCTGAATTATGCCCCCTGAATGTACGAAAAATCGTGTTTTTAGCTTGTGAACCCTATAGAGGACATAATTTTTATCCAATTTAAAAAAACGTATTATTATATCACCGTTACACCCTAAGAACGGCCCAAAACTGACAGACAAAATGGCTGCCCTTTGTTCTCAAATAGCGTAAAAATATGGTATATCAAGGTTGTGGACCCTATAGAGGTCACAATTTTTATCCGATTTTGTTGAAACTTGAAATGTAAGTTTATAACCCAAAGATCTCGATTCCGTTCGATATGTGTGCATATCAAATTGTTATTTCCTGAATTATGTCCCTTGATTTTTAGGAAAAATCGCGTTTTTAGCTTGTGGACCCTATAGAGGTCATGATTTTAAAAAAACATTTTAGTGTATCACCATTACACCCTAAGGACGACTGAGTTTGAATTTTCTGAAAATCGGCCGAAAACTGACAGACAAAATGGCTGTTCTTCGTTCTCAAATAGCGTAAAAAATGGGTATTTCAAGGTTGTGGACCCTATATAGGTCACAATTTTTATCCGATTTTGTTGAAACTTGAAATGTAAGTTTATAACCCAAAGATCGGACTGTAACTTACTGAGTTATGGCCCCTGATTGTATGAAAAATTACGTTTTTAGCTTGTGGACCCTATAGAGGTCATAATTTTTATCCGATTTAAAAAAACGTATTATTATATCACCGTTACACACTAAGCATGGCCGTGTTTGAATTATGTGAAAATCGGTCCAAAGCTGACAGACAAAATGGCCGCCCTTCGCTCTCATATAGCGTAAAAATATGGTATATCAAGGTTGTGGACCCTATAGAGGTCACAATTTTAATCCGATTTTGTTGAAACATGAAATGTAAGTTTATAACCCAAAGATTTCAGTTCCTTTCAATATTCGCGCACATCGGACCGTAACTTCCTGAATTATGGCCCCTGAATGTACGAAAAATCGCGTTTTTTGGCTTGTGGACCCTATAGAGGTCATAACTTTTATCCGATTTAAAAAAAAGTTTTAGTGTATCACCGTTACACCCTAAGTACGGCTGAGTTCGAATTTCGTGAAAATTGACCCAAAACTGACAGACAAAATGCCCGCCCTCCGTTCTCAAATAGCGTAAAAATATGGTATATCACGGTTGTGGATACTATTGAGGTCACAATTTTTATCCGATTTTGTTGAAACTTAAAATGTAAGTTTATAACACAAAGATCTTGGTTCCTTTCGATATTTGCAAATATCGAATTGTAATTTCCTGAATTATGGTCCTTGATTTTAGGAAAAATCTCGTTTTTAGCTTGTGGACCCTAGAGGTCATAATTTTTATCCGATTTTAAAAAACGTTTTAGTGTATCACCATTACACCCTAAGGACGGCTGAGTTCGAATTTTGTGAAAATCAGCCCCAAACTGACAGGCAAAATGGCCACCCATCGTTCTCAAATAGCGTACACTATACGACTGGTACCGTGGAATCTCGGGTAAATAGCGTTATTATCTAATCTATGTAGAATTATTCATAAATATCATTGAATTTGGCCTAATAGCATTCAATTTGTCCTTGTATACAACTTAAATCTCAACGTGCAATTTTGATTACCAAGCGTTAATTGACTAGTGTTTAGTTTGTCGACACGTGTGTAATTATAAGCGTCCCGCTTAATTTTCACAACTGTTCAATAATTAGTTGGACCGTTCAATTTCCCGAGTTGTGATTAAAATTAGTCAAGGTGGCCAATTACGCCAGGTATTCAATTCTGTTGCCGAACATCCAATTTCACATGCGTTGTTCAGATTTTAACGAAATGTTTATATTGAAGGAGTTGTAATATAGTAATGCTGCCGTGAAAATGTGTACATGTATAATGTACAGGCCGGTTTGAATAACAACAAAATGAGTTTGGTAATCTCGGGAAAACATTTACCGGCATTCTGTATCGGTTAGGATTTTTTTCTAACGTACTGTACATGCATATAACGTCGGCCAAAATGTATGCAACAATGAACAACTTATAATTTTTTTACAACGTATCATTACATCTTCGTCTATAACTTAGATGTAATCCATCAATTATTGGCTGCTATAAAATCCAAACTTTATTTATATACATCATAGGATGAGCTTGCAGCTTCAGTTAATCTAATCAATCATTCATAGAGCACTCGATCCACTTCACGGGGCGCTTAACGGTAAGTCACGTAGTCAGAAACGCGCCATTTTTGAGACTATATTCTTAGTCTGTCTGTGTTAATCGGCGACAAATCTCCGCTGTGACAATATACATCTACTTTAAATGTCACCCAATTCATTTCGGTGGAAGCGGATATTGAATAAAGCCATTTCACACACAGGTACATTACATGCGCATGTCATATATTTATACAATGTCCACGAGTGTGTTAGGCCTACATGTAATTCTCGCCTTCACTCCGTTATTTTGAGTAGCCTACACTTTCTGAATGATTCCATTCTTTTGTACGAATGCATGACCACTTGGACCAACTAATAGACCACTCGGACGAAACAAAAAAGACCACTCAGACCAATAATAAAGTGTTGTTTTAATACGTTTATATTTGTGTTTGTATTAATATGACTACTCGAATCAATTATAAAGTGTTGTTTTAATTGTTGTTTTAATAATTGATAATAGTGTTTGTTTTAGTATGCATATGTTTTCTTTGAAATAATAAAGTGTTATGTACTTACCCGTCGCATTGTTTCATCATGAAGCACATCAAAGAAAAACAATTAAATTGTTGATGTAATAAAGATATATATTTGCTAATATGTACCACCGGCAGCGGATATTCTAAAGTTATGTATATACTCACCTATAAATTGTTCGCCTCTTTGTATTATGATACAATATGTTATTAATGATTAAAATCATTAATAACATATTGTCTGTATTATATTTTTAAAATGAATAAGTCAAGCCTTATAATGTAATTTAATTGGTCCGTTTGGTCCTTTGGGTTGGTCCAAATAGCAAGGATAAATATGGGTCCGATATTACGCAATATAGATGCAGGTTTGTTTTTTTTTTTCTCCTTTTTTTTCTAACAATATTTATTCAATATTTACATATTATAAAGATACAATGTTCAATTATGGGATCTGAAAACAAGCCGTACAGATATATAAATGCATTGTTTATAATTATAATCATGATTTACATACATGTACAGTTATAATTACAAAAGCAAATGCAGGTTCAATCAAGAAACTTGCGTGTTCAGCATCTAGTATAACTTTCGAGCTTCTGATATCTAGATTTTAAACGTAAACATATACATGTATGTATAAACTTATAGATTGCAGTTACACAGGGTACACGTATATGCAGTAGGAATTTGGGAAGTTGGACGTACAAAAGAATGGAATCATTCAGAAATTGTACTCAAAATAAGAAAATTATAACGAAGTGAAGGCGAGAATTACATGTAGGCCTAACACACTCGTGGACATTGTATAAATATATGACATGCGCATGTAATGTACCTGTGTGTGAAATGGCTTTATTCAATATCCGCTTCCACCGAAATGAATTGGGTGACATTTAAAGTAGATGTATATTGTCACAGCGGATATTTGTCGCCGATTAACACAGACAGACTAAGAATATAGTCCCAAAAATGGCGCGTTTCTGACTACGTGA